CCCGGGTTTAACAGGACTCCTCGTGGCTGTGGGGTGGAGAACAGACCGAGGGCAGAAGCAGGGGCCCAGAGAGGCCCAGGAGAGGTGCTGGGGTCAGACATGGGCGGAGCTGTCAGGACACAGTCAGGTGGCTGGACTCTGGGGAGGCACGGGTGGGATCCCCAGCAGCCAGACGTCAGATGGCAGCGTGTCCTGCAGGACCCACGTCTCGGGGCCTGAGCACCTGCAGGTAGCAGTGAGGAGGGGGCGGGTGGGCAAACTGCGGACGCCCCCGCGGGACAGCGGCCACTCCTGTAAGACCCAGCAAACAGCACCATCCTCATGCCCCAGCCAAGGAAACTGAGGCCCAGAGAGGGTGATCTCCTACCCAAGGCCACACAGCAGTTGAGTGTGGTGTGGGGACTGTACACAGACGGGCCTGACTCCAAAGCCTGTGGTCACAAGGACAGCGCTCTGCCATCTTCAACTTGCAGGAAAAAAAATTTAAAAATAAATAAATAAAGACTCATTTTTACACCTGAGGAAAGAAAAGTCCAGAAAAAAAAAGAAGTGGGACTTCTGAGAAGCCACCCGGCAAGTGGGCAGCAGAATCTAGACTCGCGCCCAGGCTCGTGGGTCCCTGCACAGCGCCCTTCCAGCAGGACTGGCTGGAGGGGCCCAGGGAGACTGAGGCGTCAGGCCAGGGTCAGTGCACAAGCAGCACAGCAGCCTCTGGGCACACACACCAGGTTTGCCATTTGCCTGCTGTGTGACCTGGGGTAAGTTGCTTTGCCTCTCTGTGCCTTGTTTCCTCTGCAGGAAAAGGGGCTAATAACCATGGCACCTGCCACTATCGGAATGACAGCAAATAACACTTGTCCAGGGCTCATGGCAACAGCTTCCAAAGTCCAAGTCTTTGCCCATGAGATGCTCCCAACACGAAGGCTGCCCAATGTCCCACCAACACACAACGGCAACGGTGACGACAGCTAATACTCATCCATAAAGATTTATGGAGCACCTACTATGTGCCAGTGTTCTAAGCAAACAATGCCCATAAAGATCAATCCCCACCTTCACGGAGCCGGTGGACAACACAGAGGAGTGACGTGGGTACAGGGTCAAGGACAGGAAGTGCCAGGAGAAAAATCAAGCAGGACACATAGGGGGGCAGGGTTCATTTTGAATCAGGCAGAGAAAACTGAGTCCAGACCTTTTAAAGTTCCAGGAAATGGTCTCGGGTGGGTCTGGGGGAAGAGCAGTGGGAATAGCCAGTGCAAAGGCCCTGAGGCCAGAGGGGGCCTCGTGCCGGGGGAGGCCAGAGACTCAGGAGCGCAGGGACCCTGGGGGCAGCGGAGACGAGTTCAGAGAGGGCCTTGGCTCGGGCTCTGGGTGGGAGGGAGGACCCTGGGAGGGCGCTGGGCACAGGGGAGGCCCTGGGGAGCCTCTGATGCCGGGCGAGAACCCACCCCGAGCAGGGCGGGGGCACAGGCAGAGGCGGGGAGGCCTCTGAGGGTCCAGGGGAGAGAGGCGGGTGACTGGGACTAGGGCACGGGTGGCCGGAGAGCTGCCTGCACTGTCCCCGAGGGGATACCCACCCACCCATCCCCCAGGGGGAGGGGCTCCAGTGTCAGACCCCAAACCTGCCCTTTCCCTGGTCTCCGGGACCCTGGATGGGGCCTCTCTGGGCGGGGGCACGTGGGGTCCCAGACGTGGGACCCTCCCACCCGCGGCCCACCTGTGACCTGTCCCCCTCGTCCTCTCTCCAGGCCTCCCCCAGGCTCAGACACACCCAGCGCCCCCACCCCGCCCCATCCGCCCCTGGACTTCATCCTCCGCCCTCCCGGGGGGGCCTGGGGGCGACTCTGCAGAGGCCTGGCCACCCCCCCATCTGGGCGGGGACACGGAGGAGAAAGGGCTCCTTTGTGCCCGGCTGCCACAGTGGGTCTGTTCAGGACGCGGCCTCCTCTGCCAAGGCTGCGGCTTGGGGTGTGGGAAGGGGGCGTCGCAGGGGGGCCGCCCTGGGTGGTGGGGGGGGGAGTGACCTCGGTGGGGACAAATGAGACACAGAGAAGTGGCCGAGCAAGCCCTGGAGCGGCTGCTTGTCACCCACCGAGAGGCTGGATCTGCGGCCGGGGCGTCTCTGCATTGGGTGGAAACCAGAGAGGGACACAGCTTTGCCCGAGGCTTCCAGGAGGGAGGGAAGAAGTGGTCCCCGCTGTTGTGGGGGGGGTCCTGGGGGGACCTGGGGGGAGGAAGCAGAGGGCAGGGGCTTTATCGGGTGATGTTGGGATGGCTTTTCCTCTTGGAGAAAAAATAAAATAAAATAAAATGGTCACAGAACCCAGAAGACAGGTTGTCATGGCAACAAAAGTTTGAGGCCAGGTACTTGGACACCCTTTCAGGCCCAGAGGTGGAGGATTCGGGGAGCATCTGGGAGCTGCGGGGTCAGCAGCAGCAGGCCATCCCGATTTCTCACCAGCAAGGACAAGACAAGCCCCTGACTGGGTCCCAGGCCCCGGGGAGGAAAATCGGGATTCTTCTGGGAGGGACGAGAGAAACGTGGGTTCGTTTTATTTGCCCAGGAAATGAATTAACCAGCCACGATGGACTCACAGAGGACAGGGGTCTCGTCTCAGCTACCCCAGATGCCACCTTGACCTCAGACTATCCACTCTCTTCCCACGTCACTTCTCCGGGGTTTCTTTCTGCCCCTGAAAAGAAGATAGAGGATCCCTTTCCAGAAGCCCCTGAGTCCCAAGTCTCTCACCTGAGAGGTGGCCCCTAGATCTGCCTGCCCCTGAGGTGGGTGGTGGCCGGGATTTTAGTAAGACCGCAGGGGAGATGTCCCCACAGGGCCTGGGGTGCGCAGAGGGTTCCATAAGTGCTCCCCAACATTTGTTCTTCGATATTTTCAACTGACACTTTTTTTAAGGGCCGTACACAGGTTTGAACATCCCGAGTGGAGCCTGCGTGAGCTACGGGGAAATGACAGCAAGCATCAGGACTGTGACCTTCAGGAGTGGTCAGGAGAGACTGGCAATAATTCACAGGCTCCGGCTGGCCAGTGTGGGGCTGGGACATGCCACCGAGGCAGGGACAGGACCCTTGGGACTGTCACTGACAAGACACAGTCTGTGTTTCCAAGTGTGTGCGCGGGGAGAAGGCTGGTCTCCACGCAGAGCAGAAACCTGGCCAGAGGCACAGGCCACACGTCCCCAGGGAAGGTCTCCTGAAGCTCAGAAACAGATTCTTGAACTTGGAGAAAGAATTACGGGGACCTCGGCTCCAAAGGGTGCAGAGGGACCTTGTTGCCCGGTGTATGAGGCCTCCGTGGGGGAGGTGAGGGCCGGGCTGGTAGAAGCAGGGACGTGAGCCAAGATGGCTTTGAGGCTGATTTCTCCTGTTAGTGTTGTGACACGCCACAGTGACTACTCGTGTCCTGAATGCACCCCAGAAATGAACTGATGGGGTGAACTGGTCAAGGCAGGACCCTCCTAAACACATCATGTCTTTGACAAGGGGCCAGCACATACCAGGTGAAGTCCAGGAAAGTTCAGTCAGCAGCCCCAGCAGCAAGACAGGGGACAACACAGCACCCCAAGAAACCACTGGCCTGTCATCCCAAGGCCCCATCCAACGTCCCTATATTGCAAATTAACATGTTTATGTTGCAACTATTTACTGAAGGCCTACTGTGTGACAGACACTCCCCAGAAGTCGGGGAGGCAGCCAGACCTCCCAGTGAGACCCTCACAGAGGGACATCCTGGGGAGGGGGACAATATGCTAGGGATCAAAGGTAGGTAGGCCCCAGGGAATTTCAGACGGTGGCTGGAGTGGTGACACAGAAGCAAGAGTGAGAATACCCTGAGACCTTGCCTCGAAAGTGGGAAGGACGTGGGTCTTCTCCCCAGAGGACCCTGCCTCAGCCAAGTAAGCAAGTGGCTTGTTCTGTCTGTTGATGTCCACTGCCATCACCCTTGAGCCACACGTGCCAAGTGCATTTGAAGAGATCTACATGCGTGGAGGAGGTTTAACCTTGGGGAAGAGGTCCACTCACACTGGAGGGTCCCACACACAACCTGCAGCCACACCATGTCAGCGGCACTGGGTCCTGTGGGGCCAGCACCACCACTACCCAGCAAACCCCGTCAGGCAGCTGTCCCCTGAGCCCTACCATATGCCTGCCTCGGGGACACTCCCTCCAGCCCTGGCTGCCTCAGGAGGACAGAGGAAGGGACACAGACCTGCCTCCAGAGAACCAAGCCCCCTCCCCAGTTCCCAAGAGCCTCCTGCTGAGCCAAGTCCTCCCAGACTCCCAAAGCCGAGTGTGGCAGCTGTCCCATCTTCCCGCCTGCCTTGGTGTCCCTCTGGCCACATCCTATTCCAGGAGGGGGACAGGATACCAAGGGTTCCCCGGCTTCGGGGTGCGTGCAGCTTCCCAGGAACCCACGGGACTCCCCCCAGTCCCCACTCCTGTGCTTCCCAAGCCCGTCTGGGAGGCTGAGTGCAGCGGGAGGTGGGGGTAGGAGAATGACCCCCGAGTTCCTGGCCCCGCGGATCTGCGATGGGAGGGCAGCCCTGCGCAAAGCCCCCTGCACCGCCACCACCCCCAGGGTCGCGACGGGGCGGTGTGGGGCGTCCGGAGCGGGTGGAGAGGGCGGTGGGGGAGCGCGGAGACGAGTTCAAGCGGGGAAAGGAACGCGCGCCCCTCCGACCCGAGCTGGGGTGGGTGTCGGGGAGACGCGCCTCCGGGGGCGGCAACGTCCCCAAAGCCGCCCGGCGTCGCAGGAGCCTGCCCCAGCCTTTACCGGCGGGGCGTCCCGTACCCGGCCCCCGGCCCCCGGCCGCGCAAAGGCGCGTCCCCGCCGAGCGCTCGGCCAGCCCTGCGGGGCGCGGGGTCCGTGCGGCCGGCCGCGGGGCCCCTCGGCAGCCTGGAGCGCGGAGCGCGGAGCGCGGCTGTGGCTCGGCGGCCGGGGCCGCACCGCCCGGAGCCGGAGCCGGGCGCCGCGCACTCACCGGGCCCGCCGAGCTGCTCCTCGCACGAGTACCAGATGCCGGTGTGGAAATTCCTCAGGAGGAAGCGGTCGTCGCCCGTCTCCCAGCTGTAGAGCGCGCCGCCAGGGGGGCCGCTCCCGGCGGCGGCGGCGGGGGCGGCGGTGCCGTTGGCCGTGGCGTTGGCGCCCGAGTTGGGGCAGTTGGCGCTCCCGCCCTGGCCGCAGCCGGGCTTGGGCACCCGCTGCGTGCCCTGGCACCAGTGCGTGGTGAGGAAGGCGGTGGTGGCGAAGAGCAGCGCCAGCAGGTTCAGGGCCACGGCCAGGAGCGCTCGGCCGCGGCGGCTCGTCTTCATGCCGCCCGCGCCGCCGGGACCGCGCCGCCGGGGAGCTCCGCGCGCGAAGTTGGCAGCCGGCGCCCCGCGTCAGTGGCCGCTGCCCGCCGCGCCCCGGGGCTCGGGCGCCTGCGATCGGCGGCGGTGGACGCGGCGCGGGCCCATGGCCCCCCCCCGGGCTGGGGGCGCGGCTCGGGGGACGCGGAGCGCGCCGGGGGCGCGGGCGGCGGGCGGCAGCGGCGGAGCGGACCCGGCGCGCCCGGAGCCCGGAGCGCGAGTGCACCTCGGCGAGGAGCTGCTGGCGCCTGGCAGCGGCCACGGCGCAGGGACGCGCGCCCCTCCGTGGGGAGACACCTGCAGGCGGCCGGCGACACTGTTCTGGCGCCCGCCCGCACGGGAGAGGGGGCGCCCCGCGGCGGGCGCGGGCGGGGAAGTGGGAGAGAAGGGCCGCCCCCGAGGGAGACCCGCACCCGAGTGGAGAGTCTGAGCAACAAGAATTGTAGGCAAGGCGCTCCCAAAGACAGGATCGACATGGGGACATGGGGCGACACAACAGGGCACCCGAGTAGGAGGGGGTGGCATCTCACTCAGACCCAGAGAGGCCCTGCGCGTGAAAAATAAGGCCAGAGCCTGTGGGTGCCCACCAGGGACATGGACCAGCAGTCCCCCTGACCCCAGGAAAAGAACCTCACACCAGACCGAAAGGGGAGTTCTCCAAAGGGTCTGAACACGGGCCTTCCCACAGCCAGGGACCTGTAGGACCCGGAGTCAAAAAGCAGGACAGGAGCGGTGCCCTACCAGGAATGCTGGGTCCCAGAGTTTGGAAGGTTTGTGTAGCCCTAGGTCACCTCCAGGGTCTGGGAACAGCCTCCTCTAAGGAGGAAGCAGTCACCTGGGCTTCCTTCAAGGCAAAGAGGTGCACACACAGGTGCCAAGTGTACGGTAAGAAAAACAGGACCCCATGGCTTGTCCTTGCTTGAGATCCTGCAAAGCGTGACCTAAGGAGGTCCCCTGCCACACCTAGAAAGGGTGCCCTGCAGAGGCAAAGCAACTTGACTGCCAACTTGGAGTCTCCAAGGTCAGGATGGGTCCGAGTGGTCAAGTATACTGACTGGGGTCAGGCAAATCTAGGGCCTGACCAGCTGTGTGACTTGGAACAAGTGGTTTGCTGTCTCTGAGCATCAATTTCCGTGTCTATGAAAAGGGGAGGAATACACCCCAGAGGTACATCACAGGGGTCTGCTGCTGAAATCATGTCCCCCAAAAGCACTTGGCCCATCACGCACTGAATTCTAGCCACTGTTATTAATATCTGTACCCAAGACAGATGACAAACTTAGATAAGCCTCTTCAGATGGCTCGTGCAAAGTGCCAGTGCCCAACTGTGACACCTCTGTCCCCACCTCGGCCCTGAGTTGGGCATTTTTCTCTGAGCTCCCCAGGGCACCTCGCACAGTGACCAATGCCCAGGGTATGTGACAATGAACCACATGTTGACTGCAAAGGCTGATTTGAATTCTGCCCAAGCTGAGCATTCCAACTACCCCCGGCTGGCCAAGTGGCGGGACTTGCAGAACTCAAGGTGACCGGGATTATGAACTGCCTCACTCCTGTGGGGGGTCCACGCTCACTGTCTGCTGCTGCCACTCTGCCTGGGGGTAGGTGAGAGTAAAGCATTGTGGGCAATGTCCCTGGCAGGAACTGGCAAGAAGGATGACCAGAGATCTCTAGCCTTGTTTATCAGAGCCCTCTTCTGGCCCCAGGCAAGGGGTTCCCAACTATTTGGGCTGGAAGGACCTCTGTGTAATAATGACGGTGCAGGGGGTGTTGGTTGACAGAGAAGATGTATCATGGCCAAATAGCTGCGAGGAACCCAGCAGCCCTTCTAAATGGGCATGCAATATTCATCACCCCAGTGCCTGTCCACATTTGAAAGCCAGTCCACAGGATGTGTGCCTCAGTCTGGCGCTTCTGTGGGTTTGAGCCTGTGGTTGGTGTTATATGTGGCAGGACTCAATGCCCTTCCGATTAGGAACCATATCCTGGGCGCACAAAGCCAAGAAAGCCCAGGGAATTCGACTTTAGGGATCACCCAGTCTCTGAAGAAATACCCAGGGGTCAGAGCATGGGCTGCGCACCCATAATCTCAGCCACTCTAGAGGCTGAGGCAGGAGGACTGTAAGTCTGAGGGCCAGCCTCAGCAACTCAGTGAGGCCCTGAGCTACTCAGTGAGACCCTGTCTCAAAATAAAAAATAAAGAGGGCTGGGGGGGGGGCTCCGTGGTTAAGCACCCCTGGGTTTAAACCCAGTACTGCCGAACCCCCCAATAAAGAATCTTGACTGCCTTGAGGGTCGGCCACAGAGAAAAATACTGCAGGGAATGATAGAGGGGGGTGACAGCTTTGAGGAAGGCCTCGTTGAGAAGGTGACATTGGAGCAAAGACTTGAAGGAGGCATGGGAGGGAGCCCTGAGGATATCTGCCAGGGAAAAAAGGTTCCAGGCAGGCGGACGGCCTGTGCAAAGGCCCTGAGGATAGAGCCCGCCAGCCCCATGGGGTGAGCAGATCCTGGGGAGCAAGAGGCCGAGCAGAAGAAAGAAGTCCGAGAGATGACAGGGCTGGGGACAGACCACAGAGGCCTGGGCAGCTATTGTAAGGACTGCGGCATTTACTGAGCGAGGCAGAAGCCCACAGAGGGTCCTGGCAGAGAGGGGCCAACTCTAACTTGGGGCCCTTTTGTGGGCGATGAGAGGCCAGCAGGGGGCTGGTGAGCGGGGCCGAGGGCTCAGCCCAGGGTGGTGGCCGTGACCTTGAGCGTTCTGGATTGTGTTTGGGGGGGGGGTCCTGGGATTGAACGGACCTCAAATGTGCTAGGTAAGCCCTCTCCCACGGAGCTTCACCCCAATATCCGAGTCGGTCTGAAAGGTGGGTCCAGCAGGATTTTCTCAAAGATGGACCCCGGGGTGACAGCCACGTTCCGCTCCACGTTTCCGGGGATGGATGCAGGCCTGGTGGCAGGGGGCAGGGACAGGGAAAATTCAAATTCTTTCACTTTACGTTGCCGGCCATGGACCTCGGGGTCTTGTGGTGGTAGGGGAGCCCTCGCCATCCAGCGACAGACAGCCCCTGCCAAGAAAACCCCAATTCTGTCTGATTCCACGCTGGGCCTTCCACCTGGAGCTGAGTGGAGCCACCTCTAGGGCCACCTCTAGGCTCCCTTCCTGAAACGAGTCCAGACTCCTCAGCAAGCCCCTTGGACACAGGAGAATGTTTGTCTCGGATAAGGACACCGTGGTAATGACCTTGGGCCTGGACAGGGGATTGTGGGAGGTGGGATTTGTGCACTAGGCCAGAAATTGGGGCCCATGGCCCTCCTGGTCCACTGGCAGAGGTCAAGTCCCTTCAACAGCCTCCGGTGACCCGGCCACCCCAGGTGGCCTCCCCCGCCCCCGCACCTGCTGCCAGAGGGGCCAGCCCAGCCCGCCCAAGTCTAATGGCCTCCGATTGTCCTTCAGGTCAAAACCACTGGATCCCCTGCCTCTGCCTAGAACGCCTGGCTCTTCTCTCCCTGGGTGACTTCGGGTGTCCCTGAGATCCCTCTCCTAGACACAGCCTTCCCTCACCTCCACCCCAACTGTCCCTGCGGTGTGTCGCCCCTCTTCCCACCGGGATCTCAGTGAATCGCCCAGTTGTGCTGTCTCCCACCCCTGTGTCTCCCACGACCTGGGGACCCTCTAGTCACCCTCTGGCAGTCTGAAGGTCAAATCTGGCCCCAAAGGCGTGTTTTGTTTGGCCAGGATGCGGGCGGCCTCCACGCAGCCAACATTCTAGAACCATGAGATCTCATTTTTTAAAACGTTCTCTCCGTGCACTGGAGCTACACACACTGTTGGGGTTCGTTTGGACGTAATTGTTCATGCATGGGATATAATGGGCTCACATAAAAGTCTGCACTTGAGCTTCTCTTGCAAGATTGAATCACCGACCTACCAGCCCAGAGCCTTTGTCTGACAGACATTGGCAAATGTCCCTGCATGAGGGCACAAGGACCCCCAGGCCCTTCTAGCATTAAAGATACTTATGGGGTCACCAGGGCCATGTGAATTTGAGAACTCAGAATCAAGGCCCAAAGCACGTTTGATAAAACCAACCTACGATGATGCTACAAGTCAGGGCGATGGCTCCCCTTGGGGAGTGGTGTAGGGGTTGGGAGGGACCCCGAGAGGGGACTTTGGGGGGGCTGGTTATAAGGTGTGTTCAGTTCACGTAAACTCAGAGCCATACAGTTGGGAATTGTCCGCTTTGTTATGTTCAACAAAAATTACCTGAAAGACCGTGGCCATTAATAATGAATCCGCGCTTTTCAGGAACTACGGATGCGCTTTGAGGGGACACGTCCCCAGTGTATTCCCACTTGCGACTTTCCCTTGGAGTCGGCGGCTACAAAGACACCAGCCAGCTTCTGGTCTTCCGAAACAGTCACTTCCTGTTTCTTAAACCTTCAAAACACGAGCCTGGGAAAGCAGAGCAGGCTGGCCTGGGGCCTCCTAATTATAGCAAGGGATTAGCCGTTTCCAATGATCAGAGGTTGTCCTAAACTCTGACTCCCAAGGTCCCCTCGCCCGATGCCCCCTCCACTCCTCAGCTCAGACGCAGGCCCAGAGGTGCGTTTGCAGGGTGGCCTGCTGCTGGGGTGGTCCCCAGGGGACAGAGGGGTCTGCAGTTCCAGCAATCAAAGGCATCTGGGGGGGGGGGTAGAGTCTCAGAGGAGCAAGGGCCCAGCGCCCTGGGAGAGTCATTGGCTGGACGTCCCTGCCTGGTCCCCGGGTGGGGTGGGGTGCTGCGGCTAGAACCCAGGCCCTTGCACCTGCGGGGCTAGCGGTCGACCCCTGAGCCACCCCTCTGCCCCTCAGCCTGGTCTGTGCAACCCTCACGGGCTTCAGGAAGTTTCTCTGACCCAGGATTTTCCTGAAGGAGACCGACCAGGGCTGAGGTGCTCAGAAACCAGTGATTGGGCAGCCATCAAACTCAACTTGACCTTGTCTTCAGGGGCAGG